ATGGGGGGGTGACTGGCGGGGGGGAGGTCCTGAGGGGGCTGACTAGTTCCTCGAGGACCTCTGCGGTGGATGGAAGATGGGGATCCATGGAGGTGTTGGTTCTTGGTCCGGTCTTCTGTCACAAACAGGCCAGAGACAAGAGGAGTGCAGGTAAACAGAAGGGTTTATTGACAATGCTGTAATGGTGAGGATCGAAGGCAGGTGAGTATGAGAGATATATGAAAGTTCTTGGTTTCTTAGCTTCTTGAGAATCTGGGTTCTGATTGTTGCAGGAATCCTGGAGATGAACCGGGGCTGAGGAGAATCGGGATCGCGGAGACGTTATAGACCCCTGGAGGTAAGGAAACAACGGGTAAGTATGCAAGTAAGGAGTCTGGTATTGTTCGGGTAGTGAATGGTAGACCGGACACTGGAATACTGAGTGGAGTGAGAAGATATAGCGGGCTTGATTGGTGATTGCAGGTGCAGGTGATCAGAATTCGGGTGATTGGGATCTGGTGTGTGTCGGAGGAGGAGACTGTGCTGACGTGAGTGATTGTGATGATTTCCTGACAACTGCAGCACCAAACAGCAGATTTGCAATAAAGAATCTGAAGTATTAATGCTGAAGATACTTCTGAAATGTTTCACAATTCAGAAATCCATGTTTCAAGATTGATGTATATGCATCATCAGGATTTGCAATCAATGCATTTGAGACAATGAGTGAATCTTTGCATCCCTATATCATCTGGATCAAATTCACATTAAAAAAACATCTAAATCTCAAACCCCAGTTTGTCCAGCTGACAGTTTGTGCTCTTCAGTCCATCAGAGAGCAGCTTCACTCCTGAGTCCTGCAGCTTATTCCCACTCATGTCCAGCTCTATCAGACGAGAGTTTGATGATTGTAGAACTGATGCCACAGATTCACAGCACTGACCAGTGAGATTACAGTGTTCCAATCTGAACAGAGTAATACAAAAAATTGATAATTACACATCCATCATGAGCATATAGATTTGTATCTCCTAAAGGCTGTGTTTATGTAAATTTTAGGTTCTTTGTAAATGAAATGCTGATTCAATAGCATCTTAAACTGAGCTGTTGAAACTCTGCTAATTGTTTTCTGTACAACAATATTCTTCTTTTGTCTGAGAGTGACTCTTACACAAACAAATACAAAATTCACACATTATACATTTTGACTATATATTTAGCAGATTCTTTAATATATCAGTATACTGAAAATGAATCTCAAACCTCAGTTTCTTCAGCTGACAGTTTGGGCTCTTCAGTGCATCAGAGAGCAGTTTCACTCCTGAGTCCTGCAGCTCATTGTGTCTCATCTCTAGCTCTATCAGACGGGAGTTTGATGATTGTAGAACTGATGCCACATATTCACAGCACTGACCAGTGAGTTTACACCATTGCAATCTGAACAGAGTAATAAATAACTGAATAATTACACATCCATTAAATATTTAAATGACTTCACAGCTTCATCTGAGTTTGAAAACAATAACATGGTAGATATTACAGGTTCTCTTATTATACTGTACACATTTTATGTTTGCATGACTGTTGACAGAATAAACAAAATCAGGATGTTATGTTCTCATTTCTCATGTTATTTAGCATATTCTGTAGCTTTAAATGTAGCTTTTAACTGACAAACATATAGTAGCTGTCCATCATATCCTCTTGGACTCTTATTTTCACCCGGTCATAAATAAACCATATGTCGGACCGGGATATTTACATTTACATTTAATCATTTAGTAGGGGTATGAACACAGGTCCCCTCTCACTCTAATAATAATAATAATGTTACTACTACACTAACAAGTCTGTTCCATTTCTGGATATACAGTATTTGTTTATTTACATTTATCACCAATCAAAACATAAAGAGAAATCAACTAATATTTAACCTCAGACCCTGTAGCACCAATTTTAATGGGTAGGACTTTTTATTTTATATACAAAAACTTTTGTGTTGTATTTGTATTTTTTATTAGTATTTCCATGTGAGATTTAATACATTTGCAATTGATGCAGTAATATTTGGAGATGTTGCTCAGATTAGATAATTAACTAATTTTGTCTTTAATTTGAAAATGAATTAAAAAAGAATTAAACCCACTAATCTATTTGATTAGGTAATGATACTTTATGAGTATCAAATGAACACATAAAAACACATCTGATTCTCAAACCTCAGTTTCTCCAGATGACAGTTTGGGCTCTTCAGTCCATCAGAGAGCAGCTTCACTCCTGAGTCCTGCAGCTCATTGTGACTCATGTCCAGCTCTATCAGACGGGAGTTTGGTGATTGTAGAACTGATGCCACAAATTCACAGCACTGAGCAGTGAGTTTACAGCCCCATAATCTGAGTAATAAGATAAATAAGAGTATTAAGATAAATAAGAGTAATAAATAACTGAATAAATACACATCTGTGACGAGAGGGGCGGGGCCGAGAGCCGTGGGAACGGAGCGAGGCCGGTGGAGTAAATGCTAATGCACGACACCTGCGCCACTCACCGGTCTCGAGTCCCACGGAGGAGCTCCGGAAGGATAAAAGGAGGAGTGACGACAGTGTTGGACGAGAGAGGACCAGGCCTGGATTTTATTTTGTGTTTTGGTTCTGTTTGTGCGCGACAGTCGTCCGCGAGGGGCTGTCGCGCTGTTTTGTGTTTATTTTATTATTAAAGTTTCGTTTAAATGTTCGCCGGTTCCCGCCTCCTTCTTCCCGACCTATGAACATTGTTACATTGGTGCCGAAACCCGGGAGGAAGGAGGGGCACGCTGGTGCCACCGCCTGGCATCGCGGAAGAGTGTACCCAGCTAATGGAGGGCTGAGCGGCAGTGTGTCTGGGAACCGGAACAAGATTTTTTTTTCCCCTCTCTCCCCTCTCTCGTCACTGTCTCTCCTCATCCTTCCGTCTCCTTTTCTCTCGCCTCGTCTGTCTGTCCTTACCCCCAGGTACGCCGCGGAGTAGAGCGCAGTCTCGTGAGTACCCCCTGGCCTGCGAGGGGCGATGGGGGTATGTGACGAGAGGGGCGGGGCCAAGAGCCGTGGGAACGGAGTGAGGCCGGTGGAGTAAATGCTAATGCACTCCACCGGTCTCGAGTCTCACGGAGGAGCTCCGGAAGGATAAAAGGAGGCGTGACGACAGTGTTGGACGAGAGACGACCAGGCCTAGACTTTATTTTGTGTTTTGTGTGCGGCAGTCGTCCGTGAGGGGCTGCTGCTTTATTTTCATTTTGTGTTTGTTTATTTTAAAGTTTTTTTTAAATGTTCGCCGGTTCCCGCCTCCTTCTTCCCGTGACTACGAACTTTGTTACAACATCCATTTATTGTAAGCAGATAAAAGTGGAATCTCTCACATATCAAAAAACAGAAGTTCAACTGAAAGGAGAATATGGTTTTGAGTTGATTTGTACAGCCGTCTACCAGATACTGTGGATCATGAGGAAATAGCAGTGCTTGGGTAAGTTTAGGTCCTTTGTAAATGAAATACTGTATCAACAGCATCTTAAACTGAGCTGTTGACACTCTGTGCAACAATATTCTTCTTTCCACCGAGCGCGACTCTTACAAATACACATTGGTGGTACCATGGGTGCCCCAGCGAAAGGCACGAGCTAGGCCCCGGGCGCGGAGCTCTCCCCCTCCGCTGCCTCCGGTCTTCGAGATCTCCACTCCGGACCGCTTTGCTCCCCTTCGTGAGATGGAATGCGACGCTGTGATCATCGGAGACTCCATCGTCTGGCACGTCCCTGCTACCTCAGCTAAAGGTAAGGTGCACACTCCCTGTGTTCCTGGTGCTCGTGTTCTCAATGTTTCTGCGCAGATACCCGCAATCCTGAAGAGTGACGAGAGTATCGGAGCTGTCGTGCTGTGGTGAACGATATCAAGCTGCCGCAGACAGAGATTACGTAGCAACAGACGGTACGCAGCACATCGCCCGCGACAAGGATCATCATGTCAGGACTGCTTCCCACGTATCGACGAGGACATGAAGGGTTCAGTAGACTTTTTGCTCTAAATGAAGGGTTATTGTCATGGTGTAAAGAAAAGAAACTGCTCTTTGTTAATAACTGGAGTCTTTTCTGGGAGTGACGAAGGCTTTTTCGTGCTGATGGCCTGCACCCCAGCAGAGTCAGAGTCGGAACTCTAGGACTCTATGCTCCATATGACTAGTAAGCCAGTTCACAAATAACTGATATGATGGCTTTTGTTCTACCCACTTAATGATTCATGAGGGGAGCAGCCTATAGTTCTACCTGGTCTCATGGCATAAACATACCTGGGAGTACTTTTTAGTGAGACGCGAAATACGTACCAATAAGTACATATCACTGCAGTTTCCAAAAGAAATGAACACTTTTAGTCCTTTTCACACAAATTTACAGAGTTTTGATTAATAAAGAGTAATTTTCGCACAATTACTTGAAGAATATTATGTTATGACTTCAAAACAATTTTAATATGCTGGGAGATTTGAAAACTGATGCTTTTGAATGTTTGCATCACACATATCCAGCTTCATATCTATGGGTTTTCATAGACGGTAGGTATTTTCGGTAGCTCACGGAGTACGGAGACATACTTGAGAGGTGAGGAGCTCCGGTACGAATCCTGTGTAACTACGGTTCAACAAAACAGTTCAAATCTGCATATAAGGAAGTTACAATGGCACGGTTGCATCAACAAATGCGTTTTTATATCAGTTTTGCATTTGTAAACACTATTGAGTATGTTTAGGGTTGGGTTTGCTGTAGGGCGTATTTCCAACACAATAGAGCATTAACTTTTAGCGACAGTCCCCGTATATTTGAATTATGAACCGACGCAATACGTACCTGAAGCAATGTAATAAAAACACAGCAATACGTGCCTATATCAACGTAAAAAAAAAAACATGCCAGAGTCACGTATTGAACGCCATTAACTGGACATTTCACTTTGAAACTGCAGCGAAACCTAATGGAGGGCTGAGCGGCAGTGTGTCTGGGAACCGGAACAAGATTTTTTTTTCCCCTCTCTCCCCTCTCTCGTCACTGTCTCTCCTCATCCTTCCGTCTCCTTTTCTCTCGCCTCGTCTGTCTGTCCTTCCCCCCAGGTACGCCGCGGCCGCCGTGATCGGCTACCCCAGAGGGGGGAGGGGGGTGTAGAGCGCAGTCTCGTGAGTACCCCCTGGCCTGCGAGGGGCGATGGGGGTATGTGACGAGAGGGGAGGGGCCAAGAGCCGTGGGAACGGAGTGAGGCCGGTGGAGTAAATGCTAATGCACTCCACCGGTCTCGAGTCTCACGGAGGAGCTCCGGAAGGATAAAAGGAGGCGTGACGACAGTGTTGGACGAGAGACGACCAGGCCTAGACTTTATTTTGTGTTTTGTGTGCGGCAGTCGTCCGTGAGGGGCTGCTGCTTTATTTTCATTTTGTGTTTGTTTATTTTAAAGTTTTTTTTAAATGTTCGCCGGTTCCCGCCTCCTTCTTCCCGTGACTACGAACTTTGTTACAACATCCATTTATTGTAAGCAGATAAAAGTGGAATCTCTCACATATCAAAAAACAGAAGTTCAACTGAAAGGAGAATATGGTTTTGAGTTGATTTGTACAGCCGTCTACCAGATACTGTGGATCATGAGGAAATAGCAGTGCTTGGGTAAGTTTAGGTCCTTTGTAAATGAAATACTGTATCAACAGCATCTTAAACTGAGCTGTTGACACTCTGTGCAACAATATTCTTCTTTCCACCGAGCGCGACTCTTACAAATACACATTGGTGGTACCATGGGTGCCCCAGCGAAAGGCACGAGCTAGGCCCCGGGCGCGGAGCTCTCCCCCTCCGCTGCCTCCGGTCTTCGAGATCTCCACTCCGGACCGCTTTGCTCCCCTTCGTGAGATGGAATGCGACGCTGTGATCATCGGAGACTCCATCGTCTGGCACGTCCCTGCTACCTCAGCTAAAGGTAAGGTGCACACTCCCTGTGTTCCTGGTGCTCGTGTTCTCAATGTTTCTGCGCAGATACCCGCAATCCTGAAGAGTGACGAGAGTATCGGAGCTGTCGTGCTGTGGTGAACGATATCAAGCTGCCGCAGACAGAGATTACGTAGCAACAGACGGTACGCAGCACATCGCCCGCGACAAGGATCATCATGTCAGGACTGCTTCCCACGTATCGACGAGGACATGAAGGGTTCAGTAGACTTTTTGCTCTAAATGAAGGGTTATTGTCATGGTGTAAAGAAAAGAAACTGCTCTTTGTTAATAACTGGAGTCTTTTCTGGGAGTGACGAAGGCTTTTTCGTGCTGATGGCCTGCACCCCAGCAGAGTCAGAGTCGGAACTCTAGGACTCTATGCTCCATATGACTAGTAAGCCAGTTCACAAATAACTGATATGATGGCTTTTGTTCTACCCACTTAATGATTCATGAGGGGAGCAGCCTATAGTTCTACCTGGTCTCATGGCATAAACATACCTGGGAGTACTTTTTAGTGAGACGCGAAATACGTACCAATAAGTACATATCACTGCAGTTTCCAAAAGAAATGAACACTTTTAGTCCTTTTCACACAAATTTACAGAGTTTTGATTAATAAAGAGTAATTTTCGCACAATTACTTGAAGAATATTATGTTATGACTTCAAAACAATTTTAATATGCTGGGAGATTTGAAAACTGATGCTTTTGAATGTTTGCATCACACATATCCAGCTTCATATCTATGGGTTTTCATAGACGGTAGGTATTTTCGGTAGCTCACGGAGTACGGAGACATACTTGAGAGGTGAGGAGCTCCGGTACGAATCCTGTGTAACTACGGTTCAACAAAACAGTTCAAATCTGCATATAAGGAAGTTACAATGGCACGGTTGCATCAACAAATGCGTTTTTATATCAGTTTTGCATTTGTAAACACTATTGAGTATGTTTAGGGTTGGGTTTGCTGTAGGGCGTATTTCCAACACAATAGAGCATTAACTTTTAGCGACAGTCCCCGTATATTTGAATTATGAACCGACGCAATACGTACCTGAAGCAACGTAATAAAAACACAGCAATACATACCTATATCAACGTAATAAAAACATGCCAGGGTTCACGCATTAAACCCATGTTTTAGCGCCACTCAGTGGACATTTCTCTTTGAAACTGCGGCGAAACGTGCAGTAAGGTACATAAAAACGGTGTTGCAGAAAGTACCCAGAGGTACGTATTTTTATGAGACCAGGTTAGTTGTATGTGAATGCTGATCATTTGTAATGTCGGTTGCTGTTATTAGAGTACTGCTCTTTGTGTTGCAGTTAAACCACACACCCATACTCAACCACAATCATAACATCCAAGTCTATGTCAGCTGATATGCACCCAGCTCACCTATGAGCCAAACCCACTCTGGTTAAGGCATGATTCACTGACTGTACCTCAAGTTCTTCCACTGAATGTGCTAACCTGCCGACGCATCATATCATTCTCATTCACCCTCGCATGCATATCTGCAGTTGTCCCAAGGCTCAAACGCAGCTGAGGAGATCCATTCCACCTCTGGAGACCGCAAAGGAAGCCTCATTGACTCTGCGGTCCTCAAACCTCTACTACTTGTTAAGGTGCATGCAAAGGCTGACTCCACCTTTGATGCTGATATCTGCTTACCGGTGATAATAAATCTGTTAAAATTGGTACTTCCCTCTGTGGTGTTCTGACTGACACTTGGTTCAATGCGAACCAAACTAGCCCTAACAGCTTCAGGTAGTTCTTCGCTACACAATTAACATATTGTTAAACATAACATATTGTTAAACAACAAACTTTAATTTTAGCATTACTTGTGAAATTAGAAAGTATTAAGTTAGAAAAAAACTCATTTTGCTGTAGCACATTTTATCTAACCCCTCTCAGTATCAGATAAACTTCTCTGCTGGGTGTTTTTTCGCCGGTAAAAGGTGAACGACCCACTAATTACTTAATGTCGTCACAAGAGGTCCCCAAACAATTATTAATTGAATGAAACAGCAATTTTGGTGAAAGACACAACATTTTTAGTAAAACATTTTTAAACCCTGTTACACAAGCATCAGTGTCTTGAACTTGATGTGAGCCGCAACCGGTAGCCAGTGCAGCGAGATAAAGGGAGGGGTGACGTGGGCCCTTTTGGGCTCGTTGAAGATCAGTCGTGCTGCTGCATTCTGAATCATTTGAAGAGGTTTGATTGCACATGATGGAAGTCCAGACATGAGAGCATTGCAATAGTCAAGCCTAGAAATGACAAGGGCCTGGACAAGTTGTGTAGCATGCTCCATTAGGAAGCACCTGATCTTTTTGATGTTGTGCATTGCAAACCTGCATGAACTTGCTGTCTTTGCAATGTGGTCCTTGAAGGTCAGCTAGTCATCAAAGATTACTCTGCGATTTCTGACCTTGATGGGGTAATTGTTGATGAATCTAGAGTCGGAGTGGCAGGGAAGACGAAAAGCTCAGTCTTTGCCAGGCTGAGCTGCAGTTGTGCAGCATGCTCCGTTAGGAAGGGCCTGATCTTTCTGATGTTATGCAATGCAAACCTGCATGATTGAGCTGTCTTTACAATGTGGTGCTTGAAGGTCAGCTGGTCATCCAAGATTACACCAAGATTTCTGACTGAACTTGATGGGGTTATTGTTGATGAACATAGCTGGATGGTGAAATCATGCTGTAGAGTCGGAGTGGCAGGGAAAACAAGAAGCTCAGTCTTTGCCAGGTTGAGCTGTAGGTTGAGGAAGTCGGTTATGTCTTAAGTGAATGAAATCAGCTAAAGCCCCGTTCGCACTACAAGCAACACGCAGCGACAAAGCGGCACGATCTCATTAATTTCAATGGAGAGTTGGCGATTTCCAGCATCCTGAGCGACAGCAACCATTGGCTACTGGATGGGGCATGTCCAGTAAAATGACAATGTTTAGAATCCTTCAAATTTTAGCAAATGAAGAGCAACTTTCGGGAGCGACAGCCAATTGGAAAGAAGACAGTAGAGCTCATGTGATCGTTCTTCTCATAGATATGTGTGGACGCAGTTTAAGAGAGATATGATGTGTATCATTGTATTGGATCCGTGCATCAGGTCTTGAAGGGACAGCAGCCAATAAATGCCTGCTGCTGTCTGTGTCATTGATGTTAATCAAACAAGAAAACAAACAAAGATGAATCTATATTGAATTTATTCAGTGAAAACGATGCTGTTATTTTACACTTAATTATTAAATTTCTGTACCTTAATTATACTATTAGACCTTAGTTTATTCGTACCTGTTATATTGTATTTATCTATGTTGTGTGCTGTGGAATTTTTATATTTTTTTGTAACACTTTATAAATACTTTCATTAATAAATCATTAACAAACATTATATAATGCTTAATGGATCATTAGTTAATATATATTCAAAGAGTTAGAAGTGTGAAGTAATGTGCTTGTTAATGTTTGCTAATAAACTTAATGAACATTAGATAATGTTCAAACAAATCATTATTTAATGTAAGTTAAAATGCTTACAAATGTCATTAAACTTTCAATTCCATATGATCAAGCAGGTGTGATATGGGTAAGGTTAGGGACAGGTTTGGTGGTATGGGTAGGTTTAAGCAGTGGTGGGCCGTCAGGGCCAGCAAAGCCTTCTCTGCTGGCCTAAACACTATCAGAATCACGGATTTAATTTTAATATATTTGTCCATGAATGTGTATTCAATTATTTCCAATAGTCTATTCTCTTCAATTCATAGCTTTTCTCTTGGTTGCACTGCTTCCAGCAGTGTATGTTTATATTAGAGCTTTTATCCAATCATATTTCAATAATCATGTTGCCAGGGTCAAAGAAATCTGCCTTAAGGCCTTCAGAATCCACAGTGCAGGCGTCTGTTAGCTTAAATCAATGGCAATGAAACCAAACCATTGCTTTAACCAATCAGATTTCAAGTTGGCAGCACCAGGGCCATCTAGCTGGCTAACGATAACATCAGCATTTTCTCGTCCTTTAATTGGATGGTCAGCGTACTAGCTAGCAAACAGCGTCACTGTAAATAATTTTATTAAAACTTAGTAAAACTTTTATTACTGTTTCTCAGGTTTAGATTTTCAGTGCATTTTGAAAAAAGCATTCATTCTCGCTACATAAGATACCTGTCTGTTATGTAGTGCTCTGTTATACTGCATTACTGTGTAATATTTATGGTTTCTATAGCCGTGGCATCATTATGATGGTATGAAGAGATGGATTAATTCATGTAGGACGCCACTGAAGGCCTAGGTGTAAAATGCACGGCCCGCTACTGGGTTTAAGGGTTGGTTAAAGGGTCAACAGTGTACAGGGGTCAATTTGATTATTATAAGGGAACAGGGTTCAATCTGTTTATAATATATTGTTTTGATAAATTAATTGTATTTTCTTTTAAAAAATTATTTGTTTTCCCCTGTTTATTTATGATTCAAGAAATATCCTGTTTAATAATACACTGAAGAGTAGTATACTAATGTGAGTGTTGAGGCAATAAAAACATTCTTTGCACCAAAATTACAATCTGTTATGTCTTTAACAAACATTAAGCTAAACTTCACCAGCCTAGTTACATTAGCTAAAAGTCCAATGCCCATAAAGATACTAAATGATTAGGAAACATTTATAAACATTTACAAATGATGAATAGTTTCAACTTTAGATTGGCTACTGCAAAAACATGAACAAATGATTAATAAATGATTAGTAAAGATGTGAACAGAGTAAATTCAGGTCTTTCGGGACACTTTCTGCCATCGAGATTACTGCTTATAAAGGTACTAATGAATACTAAACGTTTATAAACATTTGCAAATTATGATTAGTTTCCACTTTAGATTGGGTACTGCAAAAACATAAACATATTAAAATAATTAATAAATTGTTTGTTAAGATGTGTAAATAGAGGTCTACACAACAAACAAAGACCAACAAATAAAGATCAAATGAACTGAAAGTTTTCTGACATTTGTAAGCATTTCTATTTACATTAAATAATCATATGTTAATCAGTAGGTAATGTTTAGTAAGTTCATTAGTAAACATTAACAAGAACATTATCTCATATTTCTAGCTATGTGAATATGTATTAACCAATGATCTCTTAAGCATTATATAATGTTTGTTAATGATTTATAAATTAAAGTTATTATAAAGTTACCTTTTTTTATACTGAATGTTCACTCGTCTTTAATCATGTGTGGATTTTCTTAGTTAGACTAGTAGTTTTTGCTGTGGTATTGAAGAACTACTTAGAGTGTGTTTAAGTGATTTTTATTTATTTATTTATTTTTATTTTTTGCTGACCCGAAAATGATCCGATCCGTGACTCAAAAAATACAATATGATTGTTTGTTAATGATTTATAAATTAAAGTTATTATAAAGTTTACCTTTTTTTATACTGAATGTTCACTCGTCTTTAATCATGTGTGGACTTTCTTAGTTAGACTAGTAGTTTTTGCTGTGGTATTGAAGAACTACTTAGAGTGTGTTTAAGTAATTTTTATTTATTTATTTATTTTTATTTTTTGCTGACCCGAAAATGATCCGATCCGTGACTCAAAAAATACAATATGATCGTTAGTTTTGCGATCCATTGAACCACTGATGTTTATATTAAAATAACATGTTACCTAATGTAAGAATAAATTACTTGCTCGTCAGAAAAAAATCCTCCGCTGAATAAAGTCGGATCATGCTCTTCTGAGGTAAATTCTGACTTATACTTATTATGTGTATTAAATTAACATATAAAATGCATCTGATTCTCAAACCTCAGTTTCTCCAGCTGACAGTTTGGTTTCTTCAGTGCATCAGAGAGCAGCTTCACTCCTGAGTCCCGCAGCTTATTGAGACTCATGTCCAGCTCTATCAGACGGGAGTTTGATGATTGTAGAACTGATGCCACAAATTCACAGCACTGACCAGTGAGATTACAGTATTCCAATCTGAACAGAATAATAAAAAAACTGAACAATTACATATCCATTTTAATTTACTGATAAAAGTTGCAGTATCTGTTATCATTTAATAAGATCAGCACGTTCTGTTGAAAATAAAGGTGAATTCAGAATGTTAACCAGTTTATCTCTACAGCCATTTGCCAGATAAAGTAGTAATGGAGACAATTATGATTTTTAACATCAGACACACAATCCCATAATATATATGTATGTGTATGTGTATGTGTATGTACATATATATATATATATATATATATATACAGTGGGTACGGAAAGTATTCAGACCCCCTTCAATTTTTC